GCGGGGCTCGAACTCACGGACCGCGAGATCGTGACCTGGCTGAAGTCGGACGCCTAACCGACTGCGCCACCCAGGCGCCCCAAGATTTTATTTTTAAGTAATGTCTACACCCAACAGGGGCTCAAATTCATGACCCCGGGCTCAAGAGTCACAGGCTCCACCGACTGAGCCAGCCAGGCACCCAAGAACCTCCAGTTTTATTAGGCTTGGTGAAATGACTGAAAGAGCAGAATTACTGGCCTAAATTTTGGTGACCTATGTCCCTCTTATGACATAAAGAACTGGGACTTAACAGAGAAATAAAACCTGGGTTTCTGCTTTTGATGTTTGGAAAGCTAGGCTCGATTTAAAATAGCCTTGGCTTCTAGCAAATTGTGTACAAAGGAAAGTGTTAGGTAGACATTAAGGTGCGTGTGGGGTGTGTTTCGCTGGGATTCAGCACGTTACTGGCATGTTGGATAGTTGCCTGAGCTTCCTTCTGGAGGTAGAGATGGTCAGGGTAGAAGTTCTGTAGGGATGGGAGTTTCCTGGACTTCGAACCCCGAAGAAAGCCTGTGCCGAAGGGGAGGGGTGGGTGTTCAGAGTCAGACAAGAGCAAAGGTGCAGAGACAGGCATGTTTATGGCATTCCTGGGTGATGGGGTCAAGGCATAGAGCATCTGGAGCACACGGTTGATTTTGGCCGGAGAAGGTCAAGGTTGGAAAGGCTGGATTAGATCAGACTTTGAAAGGTTTGCCTGTGAAGGTGGGGACAACTTGAGCTTTCACGTCTATCCTCGAGGCAGTAGGGAGCCATGGAATGTTCTTGACATTAACAAATGGTGTGTTAGGAAGATGAGTCTGTAGAGTGGGTTGGAAAGAGGAAAGACTGGAAGGTAAGAAACCATTGGGGAATGGGCCTGTGTGGGTTTGAAACAGGGTTCAAACCGTGGGCCGGTGGAAGGCAGGATTCTTGGGCACAGCGGGCCGGTGAAGGCTGCTTGTGGGGTGTGAGCACGAAGGCAGCGACGACCCCCCGGGGTTTGAGCCTGGACAAGTGATGCTTGTGTCGGCGACAGAAACGAAACCCGCGTGGACGTGGAACAATTTGTGGAGACGGTGACGAGTTTGACTTTCGTTGTGTTGAGGTGATGGGGGAATACCCGTACAGAAATGTTTAGAATTTGGGTGAGAACACTTACTTTCACTTGTGTTATTGGACATTTCCAAACATTACAGTAGAGAGCGTAGCGCGATCAACCCGTGTGTCTGTCGCCTGCCGACAGTGATCTTCAGCGTTTTGCTGTTTTCCTTTCTGCTTTGTCCCAGCTATTGGGGGGCAGGGGGTGGGGGTGGAGAATTTATTTGACAGTAGCTTCCAGGCCTTGTATCGTTCAGTTGAGGCCGTTTCCTTCTGTGTCTGTCCTCACACTTTTGTGAGTTTATACTCTATGCTAAAACTCGCTTTTTGCTTAATTCTACTAGAACGTGTGCTTACTGTGCAAAGTTTGTGAAAGAGAGAAAAATACTAGGAAAACAAATCCTCTATGAGGAGCCATAACCACTGCTCACCTGTGACCCCACTGTATCGACAGTGTGTGTCCTGTTTCCTTTCCGCACATCTTGAGTCTTCGAAGACGTTTTGTGGGTCTGTCGTAAATCAACACTGTTTTTCTATTCAGGTTTTTCACATTTAAGTTGTTTTTATAGGTCTTATTTTCCGATTCTTATGGTCATTTTCTTTTTTTTTTTTTTCAACGTTTTTTATTTATTTTTGGGACAGAGAGAGACAGAGCATGAACGGGGGAGGGGCAGAGAGAGAGGGAGACACAGAATCGGAAACAGGCTCCAGGCTCCAGGCTCCGAGCCATCAGCCCAGAGCCCGACGCGGGGCTCGAACTCACGGACCGCGAGATCGTGACCTGGCTGAAGTTGGACGCTTAACCGACTGCGCCACCCAGGCGCCCCGCTTACGGTCATTTTCACTTTAGAGGAACTCAGATTGGATGTTCTGGTATGGGTCGCTTGAGAATTGAGCATACTAAGATTCTTTTGTGAAAATAATTTGTTGAAGGAACATAAATGAGAAAATTGAGTTGTCTAATGAGTGAACTTTAAGGAAATAACTAAAATTTTTTCAAGGCAAATCTAATTCTGCACTACAGTTGGGTTTTTTTCCGAAACTTAAAAACACTTAGCTATAACAAAGAAAAAAGTCTTGTAGGGGCACCGGGGTGGCCCAGGTCATGATCTCACGGTTCACGAGTTCGAGCCCCACATCAGGCTCTGTGCTGACAGCTCGGAGCCTGGAGCCTGCTAAGGAGTCTGTGTCTCCCTCTCTGTCTCTGCCCCTCCCCTGCTGACGCTCTCTCGTGCGCGCGCTCTCTCAAAAACAATAAAACAAAAAGTTTAAAAAAAAAAAGTCTTGTAATTCCTTATCTTGATCCTCAGATAATTACATTGTCCGATTTAGAATGTGATTACATTAATGCTAGATCATGTTGCTCCAAATTAAACAAGGTAAGACATTTCCTTACTCGTTTTTTGTGTTTGAGGTTATTATAGATAACCAACATATGTATATTTGGTTTTGAAGTGCACGTTGTTTCCTACTCGTTGGAATGTTTGTAGAGCTACTGTGTTTCTGCAATATTTTAGATCGTGAAACTGTACTGGGAGACCCCACTTGAAATTTGTTGCTTTGCTCGGCTTCTACCTTGTCCTTGTGTCCGTAGGTACTTTAGGACGAAAAGGCTTGTTATGAGGATAATCGTTTTTGTCTTCTGTGTCGAAACCCGTCCTCCCTGCTCGTGTCTAAAAAGCCCAGTCTGTTTTGTTGCATAAAAGATGACCTTCTTTTCGTGGTTTGCTGAGAAATGGAATAAATTAGTTGATTTGTCTCGAGACCATTTTACCTTTAGTGCATGGTCAGAACTCTGTGTTGGCAAGGATGCTCTGAACCGCAGGGTTTGTCTGGATGTAGGGAAACCAGTTAGTCCTGATTCATTTTACGAGCTGAACAGACAGAAGACTTTCTGGATAAAAGTTCACGTCACAGCTCAGTAAATCCTGCGAGGTGCTCTCGGCTTCACCCGGAAGTCATTCCTGTGTGTTTTTTTCTCTTCTGCATCTGCTTCTATTTCTCTGGTCCATGAGGGAAAAATGTGACATTCAGACAATTAAAATTTCTGGCAAACTATATTCCTCCTCTTCTTTTTTTCTTTATTTTGAATTTTCCAGAATGTGGTTTCATACAGTGATAGACCTAGTCTTCGAAATAAAAGATTTTGTGTGTATTTATCTGCCAAACTGGAAGACTTTTTAAAAAAAATCGAGGCGTAATCAGCATTATATTACTTTCAGCCTTCTCATCTTTAGGGGAATGGTTATTTATTTTACCAGCTGGGTTGTATTTTTTTTTTAAATGATTATTTATTTTGAGGGAAAGAGCCTGTGCATGTGCACATGGGGGAGGGGCAGGGAGAGAGAGAATCCCAGGCAGGTCCATGCTCAGCACAGAGCCCGACACGGGGTTCCAGTCTCACAAGCTGTGAGATCATGACCTGAGCCGAAATCAAGAGTCCGGTGCCCAATGGACTGAGCCACCCGGGCGCCCCTTCCCTCTTTTTCTCTCTTCTCTTTCACCAGCTTTCACGCCCTGGATAATTCATCTGCTGGATTCTCTGCCCGTTCTTTTTTAAAAGTTTTGTCCCTTTGGGTTTTTTTCTGCCTTTTGGTCTTAAGATTCCTTCTGCTTCATCTTCTGATTTCCTACGGACACGCCATTTACGGCAAGGTTTGCATTTCTGAGACCTTGTTCCCTTGCTCAGGTGTGAGTGTCCTGGCTCTCTGAGAATCTCGATTAGAGTAGTTTTGAAATTGCCTTCTGCTTCCTACATTATATCTGCTTCCTCCACGCTCCTTTCCCTTTGTTTTCCCCTCGGGGGGGGGGCTTTCTCAATTCCTGGTACACGGCCGTCTATCCGTGCTTAGGGCGAGGCACTCACAGACTCACGGAGGCGCCAGGCCGTGGGCCAGGCTGTGGGCCGACGTGTAGACGGGCCGCCTCACCGCGGGGTCATCGGCGTCCCCCTGGACTCTTGCTGGGGCACCCGAAAGGGCAGCTGTTCACACGTGTTCTGTCGCGTGCCGTTCAGTTACTCCACGGGAGGACTTTCCGGGCCCCTGCCCAGTGCAGGTATTCAGAGAGCAAGTTAGGGGGAGGACACCTCGCTGAGGAGGGACGACCACGAAAACACAGGGCTTGGCCGAAAGGAAGGAAAGCAAGCAGAGGGAAGCGAAGTGTCGCTTCCTAAGACTCTTGCCCCTCGTTTGTGGCTGTAAAACAAAGTGACTGCTGCCCAAGGTAGGAAATCCAGTTTGGAAGCTACGCTGGGGGCTGGGGGCCGAGGGTGCGGCCGGTGGTAGCAGTAAAAGCGTTTCCAGCTCTGCGGGGGCCACGCCTGGTCTCCTTCCGGGCAGCGGCGTCCTGAGGTGCGAGGTGCAGGTGCGGGCATCCTCAGCCACGGTTTACAGATGCGAAAATCGTGGCTCCGAGAGGGAGAGCGACCTTTCCTGAGCCTGCGGAGCCAATCAGTAGGGGAGAGCAGGGATCCAGCTCCAGGTTTGCTTGACTTCTGCAGCTTACCCTTGTAAGCGTTGTGCTCAATCGGTCACACTTCAGAAACTCCATTTTGCGTCTTTAAAAGTTTGTTGATTGCCAGTTAGGTTTAAGGCCTAGCAAATCCCTTCTTTGTTTCCAAAAATAAAGGATCTAAAATGGAAATGCGAGAGACCTGGGCCCAGTGTGTTTGGACTTAGGCTATTTTATTCTGCCAACTAAGTAGCTTTGCGACCTTGGGCAAATTACTTAACCTCTCTGAGTTTTGCCTTTCTCCTTTCTGCAAGAGGCAGTTTGTGTCTGCCTGTTACTGTTACTGTTAACTTCCACGGAAAGGAAAGTCTCTATTCGCAGGGGAGGAGGATTACTGGTGGAAGGAGGGCCTGCTGCCACAGCTGTTGGCGCATGAGCAGTAGAGTACTCCGTGGTGGGCAGCACGCGTAGGTAAGGGCCCGGGTGCCGTGGGGCCACTAGGCTGGGATTCCCGGATCTGGGTCCGTTGTCATATTTGGTCAGCTCCTCGCTGTTACTGTGAGCTGTTAAAGTACGTGTGTGTGTGTGTGTGTGAGAGAAAGGGTGGGGGGGGAGAAAGGATTTCCCTCATGGTTCGGGAGATTGGAGAATGTTTACGATTGATATTCTGATTTGCAAGGCAGTGTATATTTGGATATAAACCACCCCGGTTAGAGTGAGGGGCTTTGGCACAGACCTCGGAATAGCAGGTAAATGATGCTCTGTTTTTTCCCCAGTTGTCATTCATACCCGCTTAGTGAATGAATCTGAACCTTTGCCGAGGATAAAACTTAATTGCAATTTAAGTGCATTATGTTTAAGCTGTGTGTGACGTGTTTGCACGGCGTGAGCATTGGCAGCGTATGCACATCTGGGTCATCCGAGTCTAAAAATAAATCTTGGAACACTAGCTTGTAAACGCTGCGTATCCACTGACTTAGCTTCAGATAACACGGACGTCCAGGAAGAACACAGCAGGGCGATGTAACGCCGTGTTCTTCCCTTGCAGTGGGTCATTCCCGAACTGATCGGCCACACCGTCGTCACCGTGTTAATGCTCATCTCATTGCACTGGTTCATCTTCCTTCTCAACCTGCCCGTTGCCACTTGGAATATATATCGGTGAGTATAGTTTAGTTTGTTTACTGATGCTTCGTGTCCTGGCATTTAAAGGAAAATTTAAAAAAATGTTTTAATGCTTTTTTTCTGCAATGAAATACGTGCCAGTCACGAAATAACTGACAGCCGAATGCCATGTGAAGTCAGCATAAATTCCTGTTTACTTTGGCAATAGCAGTTTGCATCGTCCAGTCTTAGAGTCAGAACACGAATTTACACGCACAAATTTTAACAATTTGTAATGTTCAGTTGCGATGTCTAAGGACGTGTGTGTTTTCCATAAGAATGGTCAATAGTCTAAGAATATCAGATTCTTGTTACTTATGTTATAGATTTTAATTAGAACATACTGGGAATGCTTCAGAGAGGATTTCACTTTAGTTTTTAATTTATCTTTGTACTCTAATTTTGTTTTATTTATTTTGACAGAGAGAGAGAGAGAGAGAGAGAGAGGGAGAGGGAGAGAATACCAAGCAGTCTCCACTCTGTCAGTGCCGAGCCCCACATGGGGCTCGATCTCACCAACTGTGAGATCAGGACCTGAGCTGAAATCAAGAGTCAGACGCGCTCAGCTGAGCTGCTCAGGCGCCCCGAGGATTTCACTTTAAAGCCTGCAGAGTAGATCACATCAGAATTCTAACTTAACGCATTCGGGAGGTGTTTCAGGCCCCGCTCGGTGGACACACCCTGGATGCGCTGTTATTGTCGTGGGGCAGTTATACGGGATGCATTTTCTTGTGAAGGTCTGTGGGGGGATGGGATTGCTTTTATTGTGCCTTGCTGCTCTGCTAGATTTTTAGGTTTTGGTTTTATTTTTATCTAGTTTTTTGAGGTGTCATCATTCATCATATTTTTACGTGTGAGTTTTTATTTTTATTTTTTAAAGTTGATTAATTTTTTAAAAGTTTGTTTATTTTTAGTAATCTCCATACCCACTGTGAGGCTCGAACTCAGGACCTTGAGATCATGAGTCACGTGCTTTTCTGATAGAGGCAGCCAGGAGTCCCATAAATGTGATTTTAAAGTGCAGTTAGAGGGGCGCTTGGGTGGCTCAGTGGGTTGGGCGTCTGACTTCAGCTCAGGTCATGATCTCGAGGTTTATGGATTCGAGCCCCACACTGGGCTCTGTCCTGACAGCTTGGAGCCTGGAGCCTGCTTTGGATTCTGTGTCTCCTGTCTCTCTCTGCTCCTCTCCTGCTCACATTCTGTCTCTCTCTCTCTCTCTCTCTCTCTCTCTCAGAAATAAACATTAAAAAACAGTAAATAAATAAATATGAAAAATAAAGTGTAGTTGGAATCAGAAGGATGGGGTACCGCCTGCTCAGAAGCGCATGTGACTCTTAAGGTCCTTAGTTCGAGTCCTGTGTTGGGTGTAGAGATTATTTAAATAAGACCTAAAGAAAAGAAGAAGGATAAAGAAAAGAATAAGGCAGGGTGGGAGGAGGTGATAGCACACAGAAGGCCGTGAGGAGGAGGAAGTGAGCAGATTTGGGGGATGAATTTAAAAAGATCGTGAGACTAGGACCTGAGCCACGGAAGGGATTTTAAATCTCTGGACCCCTTTTCCAGAGGGAAACCAATACTTTTTAAGTTTCTCAGTGTCCTTGCATGGTCATCCCAGAGTCCAGCACCCTGAGCTGAGCTCGGCCAGAGCACGGGCCCCTGCCCCAGTTGGCAAGGTGCCGTCCCACGCAGACTTTGAGCATGGCTCAGTATCTCTGTGATCAGGAACAGGAATTTGGGAGGGAGAGCCGGAATCCTGAGACTGTAGCTCAGTGACTTCCCGAGCCCGCACCGTCATTCGTCTGTGACAGCAGAGAGTGCCAGAGGAAGGGAGGCTGGCTCCATGCGGCCTCTTCGTGCGTGGTACCAAGTATGGTGGAAGGTTCTAGCGGGTTTACTGGGGGGGGGG